TATACAACTTAACATTTGAGAAGAAAATAGAAACAAGGCCATATAACAGACAATGAATATAAATGTGGTAATAGCATGTAAAAATAATGTCAGGAATGCTGAAACTCAGAATGAACTGAAGCTGGCAAGGGAAGCTAAGGACCACAAAAAGAGCTTTTTTGTTTGTTTTAGACATTTTAGAAGAAAGAGGAGCATCAAAAAAGGGCTAGAATAAATTGGGCTTTTGCGTAGAGTAAATAAGAGGGTGACAACACCAGAAGAGCTGCACAGTTCTTTGACTTTTCATTTTTATATTTTGTAATTAAAATTTTTCAGTTACTAAATTTTTTTTCCTCTCACCTTTCCCCACTTCCCACTGAAAAAGAGAAGGAAAAAAATCCTCCCGTAACAAAAAAGCATAGTCAAGCAAAACAGATTTGGATATTGGCCACATCCAAAACTGTACCTTTCATTCAGCATCTTGAGTCCATTACCTCTCTGTCAGGAGATGGGTAACATTGTTTATCATCAGTCCTCTAGAATCACTGTTGATCATTTAAGTCTTTCAGAATTGGTCATTTTTACAATGTTGTTCTTCTAGTATAAATTGTTCTGCTTTTGCTTACTTTATTCTGTGTCAGTTCATACACACCTTTCCAGGTTTCTCTGAAAATGTCTTTTTTCAGCATTTGTTTTAGCAAAATAGTATTCTGATATTCATAAGCTATGATCTGTTGAGTTATTCCCCAGTTGATGTGCAGCCCTTTACTTTCAAGGTCATTGATGAGAGAGAGACAGACAGACAGACAGACAGATTCTATCTTATTTTGTTTCACTTGTATCACATTGATGAGAGAGAGAGAGAGAGACATACAGAGAGACAGAGAGAGAGATGCTATCTCATTTTCTTCATTTGTATTGCATTGATGAGAGAGAGAGAGAGAGAGAGATGCTGTCTCATTTTGTTTCACTTGTATCTGTCAAGGAGAAGGACCTTTGCACTGGAAATGACAGAACGAAATTGACTAACAGGGAAGTGATACTCAAGATAAATAAGGAGAGACTGTAAGGTAGTAAGCTTCTATTGATAAATACAGATTCCTTGTCCCAGATGAACTACATTGTCATATCCTGAAATAGGCAGATGTGATTTGCTTGGCCACTGTGGATGATATTTGCAAGATCATTGAAAACAGAACAGGTAGCACAAGATTGAAGAAGGGAAAATGTCCTCATTTTCAAAAGAAAAATTTAAAAACTACAGGCAAATGAGCTTAAATTCAGTTTCTGGGAAAATTCTAGAACACGGCATTGAAGAGATTGTTGATGAGTTTCTGGAAAGGGAAGCAATGATTACAAAGAACCAGTATAGATTGATCAAGAATAGGTCATACCAGGCAAACCTCCTTTCTTTTTTTGATAGGACTACTAAAATAGTAGATGAAGGGAATGCTTTGGGTATAGCTCACCTAGATTTTAACAAAGTTTTTTTTTAAAATAGGTTTCTGTCTATTTTTATAATATCTTTTGCGTTTACATCACCTAGATTTCTCCCTGTTTAACCTCTTCTTCCCAGGGAGCAGTTCCTATTAACAAAGAAATTTTTTAAAGAAAAAGAGAAAGAAGATAAAAATATATCAGAACTGACCAATACATTAAAAAACCTAACATATTCCATGTTCCATACCTGTGGACCCCTGACTTCTGCAAAGGAGTGGGAGGACGTGTCTTCTCCTGTCTTTTCTTTGGGGCCAACCTTGATCTCTTTAATTTTGAAATCTTCATTTTTAACATGTGATTTGTTGTTTCCTTTTTTATTATTAATTTAAGAATGAACAAAACCACAAACATTTCAGTATGCAAAGAGCAAAAAAGAGGACTGCATGTGAACTTATAAACTTATGCTACATAGTTTACTAAAGTGCATATTAAATTTAACAAGATAGTAATTAAATCGCCCTGCTTGTTCATGTTCCCTATTGAACTTGCTTTTATTTTTTTGCCTCTGTACTTTTAATGTTTTATTGGTGTCCTTTTTTATCTTTTCCTACACTACCTCCCTGTGGTACTCCCCTTGTAACAAGTAATTAGTAAAGTGTAACAACAACAACTCAGCCCATTGGTCATGGCTTAAAAATGTTCTTTGTAATTTTTCACCATTAATTTTCAATTGTAGTTGTTGCAATAAACAGTAGTTCTGTTTACATCATTGTAATGTTTGTTTTTATTGTTTTATTGATTCACTTTCATGTGTTTCCATGCTTCTCTATATTCATCATTTCTTAACAGCAGCACAGTATCCCATTTCTTTTATGAAACACAATTTGTTTAGTCACCCATATCAATGGATATCACTTTGGTTCCAATTCTTTGTCGCCAGAAAAAGTGATCTTATAAATAATTGATGTATGTGATCCCTTTCTTTTTGTCAATAGGATATATACCTAGCAGTGCCATTTCTGGGTCAAAAGATATGGAAATTTTAGTTGCTTTATATGTATAATTCCAAGTTAGCAAAGCTTTTGATAAAGTATCTCATACTAATTCTGTGAGGAAGATAAAGATTTATGGATTAGACACCACCTACGCTCACTCACCGAGAAAGCAAGCAATAATGATATCAATTATACATATAAAATCATTCAAAACTTATTTCAATATTCTACATCGCAAAATAAAAAGCAAGAAAAATAAAGTGAAAAACTATACTTAATTTTGCACTGAGAGTTCATCACTTCTTTCTCTGGAGGTGGATAGCATTTTTGATCAAGAGTCCTTTGTAGTCATCTTGGATCATTGTATTGATCAGAGTAGCAAAGTCTTTCACAGTTGATCGTTGTTATGATATTGCTGTTACTGTGTACAATGATCTTCAGGTTCTTCTCATCTCATTTTGCATCCATTCATATAGTTGCCGTGTTTTTCTGAAACCATCCCCCTTTTCATTTCTTTTAGCACAATAGTACTTCATCACAATCCCAGTTCAGCCACCCTCCAATTCATGGGAGAGTCAATCTCCAGTTCTTTGCCAGCACAAAAAAGAGTTGCTATAAATATTTTTGTACGTGTAGGTTCTTTTCCTTTTTCTTTTATATCTTTGGAATACAGACCTAGGAGTGATGTTGCTGGGTCAATTTTATAGCTGAGACAGTTTTATAGCCCTTTGGGTATAGTTTCAAATAGTTCTTCAGAATGATTAGACCAGTTCGCAACTCTACCAACAGTGCATTAGTGTGTCTATTTTCCATTATCTCTTTCAGAATTTGTCCTTTCTGATAGGGTTGAGGTGGTATCTCAGAGTTGTTTTAATTTGCATTTCTCTAATGAATGGTGATTTAGAGCGTTTTTTTCATATGAGTGTAGATAACTTTATTTCTTTTTCTGAAAACTGCCTGTTCATATCCCATGACAATTTATCAATTGGAGAATGGCTCTTATTTTTATAAATTTGGCTCAGTTCCGTATGTATTTGAGAAAAGAAGCTTTTTTCAGAGAAACTGTAAACAATTTTTGTATTACTTCATTGTCTATGGTACTTTTCATCAGTAGAGACTTGTCTTTTGCCTCTTTTTGTATCCTCAGTGCTTAGCACAGTTTCTGGCAAATAGTAGGCACTTAATAAATGTTTATTAATTGTTTTACTTGTTCCTACCAGAGCAACAGAAATTGCATAAGGAAACTTCGCTGTGGCCTGGTCCTGAAAGTAGGTCAGGGAACCTTGATTCTTACCCCTTTATCATCACCTTCCTTGAGGCAAGTTTTCTCCCTTACTTTGATAGGGTTTTACTTTAGGGAAAAGGGGATGGGAATAGATTCTTCCTGTGTCCCCATCCTGACAAATTATATGACCAGAATTCCTTTCACCTACCAGCCAAACTGTCTAGTAGGTCTCTGTCATAAACACTGGGACAAGATCTCTGGTCACATAGTTAGTGAATTGAGGCATAGGAGTATCAGATAGAGTACTTAAAACTAAAGGAAGATATTTAGGAATGGAAATGAGGGTTGGGATTCCTGAGTTCAGGTTAGTCCTTAACCTGAGCTGTGGATTGAATGCTTTCTTAATGTCTTTTCTGTAAGAAAACATTAAGACTATTAATGACTTATTAATAATGACTTATTAATGATTATTAAGACTAATAAGAGTCATAATTATATTTTAATTTTCTTTTTCTTAAAGTAATTTTCTGTTCAGTGCTATCTTTAATAGGTTGAAAACTTTGACTTCCAACTGTATATTTAGCTGTACAGCTGACTTTGACATAGATAAATCAGTACAAGAAAGATTTAATTTTATTTATTATTAATCAAAGCTCAGAAGAGAGGTGGATAGAAAGCTGGCCTTTGTGTTTGGATTTGAGTTCTGCCTTTGACATACACTGGCTATGTGACCTGGGGCAAATCACTTAAAATCTCAGTGTCTTGAGCATCTCCTCAAGATCATAAATTACAAAAGAGTTATTGATCTGCTTTGGTGGAGGCAGTTTCCATTCTGTAAGTTTCACTTATCAATGGCATCGCAGGTCTGGATAAAAAAAAAAAAGGCTTAATAAGTGAGGCGACTTGCTCAAAGAACCAGGACTTAAATCCAGGGATTATTCTGATATTGACTCCAGTATCCTTTCTTCCCTGAAATGCTTTAGGAAAATTGACATCAATGGCAATATCTACATCGTCTTCATGGGGTTTTGAGTTTCAAAGTGTCTGTAAAATAATCTCTGAGAAGTAGCATTAGAAGGAAAGGGAGGTGAACTTGGGAGCTTTTTGTAACTCCAGTTTGAAGAATAACATGTGACTGGGGTCTTTTCCTTACCAATCGGTGAGAAAGCTCCCATCATAAATAAAGGCTTACGTTGTCTTGTCATAAACAAAAGTGTGTATGTGTTGCTGTGCTAGAAGATCCCACATTTTTGTTTTACTTGTTGACTTTTTCTTAAAAATAAAAATCAAGTCCCTTATACTAGGAACGTTGCTGGAAAATATGCTGATTTCTAATGGCCACTTTTCTACTTTTCTTTCAGTCCATTCCGGTGTTCTTCACATTGCATAATGCATCGGAAGTTATTGTCTGTCTGTACCAGAAGTTTATTTCAAAAGAGGTGAGTAATTGTGCAAACGGGCAGTGCCCCTGCTCTGCTTTAGACAGAGAAGAGGTTTGTAATGCCCAGTTGGGAATGCAGATGTCCTCCATGCCTTGAATTTACTAAGTTCTGCCTTACAACTTGCTAGTCAGCAGTCACTCATTTCAAGGATCAAGTTTTTGATTTTTTGGGAAATGAGAGTTTCATTGGAATGAGAAATACTTTACATTTACAGAGAGAGTTTGGCTTGGCCTCTCCTCTCCTTCCCACCATTCTTATTAGTTCTTTTTACACATTTAATTTCATTAGAAAAGTCAGTACCAATTTAAAAGAGAATATTATGTTTATATTTGCATGTGCACAAGTGTCAAGTGAGTATAAAGTAGTGGCTTGTGGGATCTGTCTCTTTACTCACGACATAGCTCGAAGATTGAAGTATTGTGATGATCATTGTCTCTCTGGTATGTATGCCATTCCTTCACTGGGTATACGTTTGGCTTTGGAAGAGATATACTCCTTTTTTCAGGATGCTGAAGTACCATTTAACTTGAAGGAATTAATTGATCTACTTACCTACCTAACTTGCCTTCTGAGCAAAGGGGTGAAGTGGGTCATTAATAAGTTATTCCCTGCATAGCACCATAGACTCATTCCTTTGCCCACTCACCATCTTTCTATTTCTGAAGTCATCTGGTCAAAAGATTATCTGAAAGCAAAGGGTTCATTTCTGGAAATTGAAAGAACATTTTTAGTTGTTGGGTTAATTTTAGTGTTTTAAAAGATGAAATTTACTAAATCATGTCCTGAAAAAGCAGACATATTACCTCTAGGTGAATGTGTAACTTCAGAATACTTTAAATTCACAGCCAAAATGGAGATCAGAACCCTGCGTCTTTCCCCTTTTAACCAAATTATTGAAGTGTTGGGTGTGTTTATTGACATATCATGGTCCTATTGGTAGGTTATACTCATGAAGCAGTTATTTAGATAATTATAACCTAATAAATAGCTTTACCTTAATAGCTATATATTGTAGATTGCCCCCAAAGGTATCACCTCTGTGATGTAATTTTCTCATTTTTGTCAGTAGATTTATTTCTTCACATCACAAGACCTGCCCCTGCAATTTGGATATACTGCCACCAGATGGCAGTGACAAGTAATGGGTGTGCTTGGTCAGATCAACAAGGGCATAGGATCAATAGAGGGAATTAAGGCTGATCAGAAAAGGCTTCTTGTAGAAAGTGGGATTCCTTACAATGATAAAATCAAAGGTGTTTTTTTTTTAAAGGGGCAGTGAAATTTATAAGTTTCTCCTCCTACCCCTAATCCACAACAAACCACTAAAACTTGTTTTTTTTGTTTTTTTTTTTGTTTTTTTTAGTTTCATGTGAAATCTTAAGGTAATCATTACAGCCCAAGAAAGATTCATGCTACACTACTCTAATCAATGAATCTTCTAGAGGATTTTTTCAATGAGAATATAATTATTTGAATAGGAAATTGAACATATTTTATTTCCTTCCTTAGGTTGAAGTGGTGTGTGTGTGTGTGTGTGTGTGTGTGTCTGTGTGTCTGTGTGTCTGTGTGTCTGCACTCGTGTCTGTATGTGTAGGACTCCGAAATATTGGTTCTGTTTTTCATTGTATCCATTCTCCCTTTAGCTATCAAAGAGAGCTCCCTAAAAGTCAGTCTGACTACATCACCCTCCTATTTAATAAACTGCAGTTGGTTTCCTGTTTCCTTCAGGAATAAGTACAAAATCCTTTGTTTGGATTTCAAAATCTTTCCTAACTTGACCCCCTCCTACCTTTCCAGTCTTCTTCCACCTTATTTTCTCCCACATACTCTGTGTTCCTGTGTCCCTGGCCTCCTGGCTATTCCTTGCACAAGATTCTCCATCTCTTGGCTCTCGAATTTTCTCCGGCTCGTCCCAGCTAAAATTCCACCTTCTAAAGAAGCTTTTTCTGACCATCCTAAATTCTAGTCCCTTCCCTCTATTGATTATCTTCCATTTATCCTATACATTGGTGTTTTATACACACTGGTTTGCATGTTGTTTTCCATCAGGCTGTGACCTCTTTCAGAGCAGGGAATGGAGGTTTTTTTCCTTCTTCTTTTCTTTGTATCCCCAGCACTTAGCGCAGTGCCTGGCACACAATGAAGGCTTAATAGGTGTTTGTTGACCGAAAGGCTAACTGCTTCACGTGGGTAGAAACAGCCATACAGATGCTATGTGGATTCCATAATTAATAGTGAAAACAAAATAAAACAAATCTTGATTTGTAAACTCAGAAAGGTTTGGTTGAACTAGCTTACCTCACCAAGATCTGACTCATTCTTCTGCTCATTCAGGAGTGTCATTAAATCTCATTGTATTATAAGGTTTCAAGCATCCCCTATTAATGTATTTTAAATCTGCCTCCTTTCATGATTATTTTTGAAGACTTGAGTTTTGATCCTGGTCTCTTTATTTTCATCCAGCTTACATCTCCTGCAAAAATCTGGAGGTAAGTCAAGAAGTCCCTAAGCCTAAAACTGGACACTCATGTTCACTTTGATCCAGAACAAATATTTGTGTTTGTCTCACTAAAACAGAGATGTTAATGAATTATGGACACTGGCATTTTACATATAGAAACCATATTTTCTTTTGCATTGTTCATGTAGTTTTATTATTTTATTGTTTTTTCCCCAAAGATTCATTAGATAATTCTTCCTAGGAGCGGGTGGAGGTGGGGGTGGGTGGGATCCCCTGTGCCAGATTTTAGCTGTTGTTACTCAAGCATTTAATAATAAACTGTTGTGGAATGGGGGGCAGCTCGGTGGTGTAGTAGATAGAGGGAGTCAGTACAAATCCAGCCTCAGACATTTACTGTGTGACCCTGGGCAAGTCACTTATCCCTGTTTTTCTTAGTTTCCTCATCTGTCAAATGAGGTGGAAAAGGAAATGGCAAATGACTCCAGTATCTTTACCAAAAAACCCCAAATGGGGTCACAAAGAGTCAGACCTGATTGAACAACAATGATTGTGGAATAGTGAGGTAAAGACAAAATACAAATAAGGGGGAAATTTTTAGCATTTGGTAAAATTTGGTAAAAAATTTGGGTATTCACCAATTTATAAATGACTAGTGTGGTGATATGGAAAAAACACTGGAAATGTAGACAGGGGACATGAAACCAAGACTAAGAACACAAGCCAGGAGTCTAAACCTAGCTCAGCTGGGTGATGCCGAGCCGGGCATTAAACCTTTTGCCTCTGATTTTGACTTTCTTGTCAAAGAAAAGCCTTTGACTTTCCTTGTCTCTAAAATAAGAAGTCGGACCAACCGATCCCCAAAGTCCCTTTTGGTTTTGCAGTTTTATTGTTCCAACCTGAGCAGGTCTTCATTTAACCAGCTCCCGTCCTCTTGCTCTATAATATAGATAGGAAACTCTGAAGTGATGAAGCCTTTCTGATTCAGGGATTTAGGATTGATGGTTTTAAACATTCCATTGTCTCCTGTTTGCTGGTCTAGGTCCAGCCACGCTCCTCCCCTCCTCCCGCCCTCTCCATTTTTACTACTGCTAGGAGGGTATAGAATGCCCAGAATTCTGGGCACACCCTTCTTATTAAAAGAGAGATTAATAGGAATTACAGAGGGGCGTTAAAGACCTGTAACACTTAATTGCTATGTTCTTGCAGATGTAATCAAAAGATTTAACTGAGGACTGCCAAAGAACTTTGGGAGGAAAAATGGGCAGCTGACTGAAGCATTTTGTGCCTCACTTGGATGGCCCCATGACCATTAGAATGTGTACTTCCTTTTCTGTTACTGATCCTTGCCTTCTGATCTTAGATCCTTTTCTCTGTCCTTCCATCAGTCTTTCCTCGAGAATCCAATCCATGAACTAGAGGCATTTCTCCCATTCTTTTACTTTGTTGAAAATATCAAGCAATCAATCCAAGTTGATCTACCTGCTTCCTTTTCTGGTTACCTTTCCCCCTTCAATCTACCACTCAAACCCAAAACCCAAGTCCAAAAATATCCATGGAGGACTTTGGTAGAAGAAACATTTTATGTGTTGACTCCATCTAGGGATATCTGGAATTTATCACCTAGGAATAGGGAGGATATATATTGTATTTTACAAAAATTGTATCTTTTTTACATTAACACCAAATCAACTAGCTAGCATTATTATTATTATTTTATCAATGCTACTACTACTAATACGTCTGCTATTAAATCAGCCACCTTTCTGTCTAGCCTCTGCTAAGTCACATTTTTTTTTCCTTTAACAACTGACATTTATACAGTTCTTTAAGGTTTTGTAAAACACCTTCCAACAATGGCAGGTTTCCAAGTATTATTTCCATTTTACAGATGAGGTAACTGAGTCTCCTGGGAGGTTGTGCCTGGGGTTGTATTCAAAATCTGTTGTCTAGATTTCAAGTACAATGCTTAGTTTAGGCTAGTGTTTAGTATTCATGAAGCCTTCCATGACAACTCCAGCACAGTTTGGCCTTGCTCCCTGAGTTACTGACTACATTGACTGCCTGACTGCATTATCATACGCTTATTGACAGGTTTCCTTGGAAATCTTCTCTTGCTCTTTCATGTGTGTGTGCATGTACCATTTAAGAAATAAAGGCCATTCTTTAAAGCCTGTTTTCTTTCTTTTTTTCCCCCATATCATAACATAGTTTTTATCTAGGATTTTATTTTTTCTCAGTTACATGTAAAAACAATTTTTTTGCCATAAATTTATTCTGTCTTTATTGACTATTGTAAAGCCTTTGACTCAGTTACTTATTCATGAAAGGCATAAGTAGGGTAAATATATACAAGAGACTCAAGTACAATGAGAAAGCTAGAGAATTTCCATATTTCCATATGGAAAACTTCACTATTTAAAACATGCCACCAACACAATAATTGCAAAAAGACTTTATATGAAATATGAAATTTTTCAGGGAGAGTGTTTAAGCCTATAATGGTTCTGCCTTGTCTTAAACTCATTATCATAAGTCCTGAATAGAAGAGAATATGGCTTCCAAATTAAAGAGGATGTTGAACCAAAAAAAATCTTATTAATCACTTTACATACATGGATGGATGGTGTCATTATATGGCTCCACCAAAATAACATTAAACAGTTCTTATACTTCATGGACTCATGCTCTGGTGGTATCAAAATGTCATTTAGATTTGATAAGTGCCAAAATCCTTAAGATATGCTAAAAACAATTTTTAACATTCATTTTTAAAACTTTGAGTTACAGATTCTCTTCATTCCTTTCTCCCCAGCCCCCATCATTGAGAAGGCAAACAATTCGATATAGGTTATACATGTGTAGTCATGCAAAACATATTTCCATATTAGTCATATTGTGAAAGAAAACATAGACCAAAAAAAAAAACCTCAAGAAAAATAACGTAAAAAAATATGCTTCAATCTGTATTCAGACATCATCATTTCTTTGCCGAGGGATGGATAGCATTTTTCATCATAAGTCCTTCAGAGCTGTCTTGGATCACCATATTGCTGAGAATAGCTAAGTCGTTCACACCCGATCATCTTACAATATTGCTATTACTTTGTCCACAGTACATTTCATTTTGCATCAGCTCATGTAAGTCTCTCCAGATTTTTCTGAGAGTGTCCTGCTTGTCATTTCTTATAGCACAATAGTATTCTATTACAATTGCATGCACAATTGGTTCAGCCATTCCCCAATTGATGGGCATCCCCTCAATTTCCAATGTTTTCTAAGAGAACTGGACTTGGAGTCAAGTGAGCCCTGGGTTCAAATTTAGATGCCATCACTTACTAATCATGTGACCACTGGTGAGTCACTTAAGCCCTCTGAGCCAGACCTTCTTCATCTGTAGGTATAGAAAGGTTGGTGTTTCCAACGAGAATCAAATGAGATGATATAGTTAAGTGAAAGACCCTATTTGGGCATTTCTTTGACATCCACAAGGGGGTGTTCTCCCTCTTTCAAAGATGATAGCTTGAAGGAATCTTGTTTGTCCTTCGTTCTCAAAGAGGATCATGACATTGTGGGGGGGGTGATGCCATGACATGCAAGCATTGGAGTCATTTGGTCCAACCCCCTCCTTTTGCAGATGAGAAAACTGAGGCCCACAAAGGTTAAGTGACTAGTCCAAGGTCACGCAGATAGTTAGAAAGTCAGAATTTGGGGCAGCTAGGTTGCACAGTGGTTAGAGCACTGGCTCTGAAGTTAGGAGGACCTGAGTTCAAATCTGGCCTCAGACCAAACACCTCACACTTACTAGCTGTGGGACCTGGGCAAGTCACTTAACCCCCATTGCCTTAAAAAAAAAAGTCAGAATTCAAACCATGTTCCCCTGACTCCAAATCTTATCATTCTTCCCACTGTATGATGCAGCCTTCCTAGGTTTCCCAGCTTCCTTCCCACCCTTGAATTCAGCTGAGTACAAACACTCTACTTTATTAGGATGGCAATGGTTCTTTGAGATGGAGTATTTATAGTACTGAGTAGGACCAGACTGTTCTGTATAATTGGATTTTAAAAAATAACACTAAAAGAATCTTAAACAGTTATCACATGTCTTTCCTACCTATTGTTTAGTTGTTTTCAGTTGTGTCCAACTTTTTGTGACCCCACGTCTATATGCCTAAGCAAAATTCCTGGTAATCTCTTATTGGGTATATGGAGGAGGAAAATTCCCACCTATTTAGACTTATTCTCCTCAGCTTGGATTAGAGGTTGAAATTGCCGTACTGTACTCAAAATTTCTTATTGACTCCCTTATTAAGTAGAGTTTAGACTTTTTTTTTCTTCCAGCACTCAAGATTCTCTGCAGCCTGTTACCACCTTGCCATTACAACCTCATTTCACATTACTCACGTCCAAGAATGCTCTGCTGGAGTCAAACTGGACTACTCTCTGTCTCCTAAACCTACCCACATCTTCCCAGTGCCATGTCTTAAGCATGTGATTACTTCTGCTTGAAATGTCATCCCTCGCTGTACCAGCTAAATTCCAACTCATACATTAAAACCCATGTCAATAATAGCCTTCCCCCTGCTAATCCCTTAGACCTCATCCCAATTTATTGTGCAGCTCTTCCAGTGTGCTTATGTATAATGATCTTTATTATAGTTTGTGATAAACCATAATTCTATAACATAATACACATATATAACATTATTATGTTATGTAGTATTATTTGTTGTTACGTAGTCTTGTCTGGCTCTTTATGACCTCATTTGGGGTTTTCTTGACAAAGATGACAAAGATACTGGAGTGGTTTTCCGTTTCCTTCTCCAGCTCATTTTACAGATGAGGAAACTGAAACAAACAGAGTGAAGTGACTTGCCCAGGGTCAGACAGCTAGTAAAAGTCTGAGGCTGGATTTGAACTCAGATCTTCCTGACACTCCAGGCCCAGTGCACCACCTAGCTGAAATGTGTCCAGAGAAGGCAGTCAGGATAGAGAGGAGTCTAGAAACTGTGCCATATAAAACATTACTTGAAGGAACTGGAACCTAGAGAGAAGAGCAGCCTGTGGGGGTGGGACGTAGTAGCAGTCTCCATGTGTTTGAAAGGATGTTCTTTGGAAGGGCTCAGATTTCGAGCTGGAAGAGACCTTAGAGGATATGGAGGCCATTTTACAGATGAGGAAACTGAGGCTAACAGCAGTTAAGTGACTTTCTGAAGGTCACCCAGGTAATAAGTGTCAGAGACAGGACTTGAATTTGGGTCCTTAGACTGTTCTGCTTACTCCAAGAAATGAAGAATTAGGAGTAATGATTGGGACTTACAGAGAGGCAGATTTCAGCTTGATGTAGGGGAAAACTTCCTAACTATTAGAGCTATCTAATTCAATTCAGCAGGTACTTATTAAGTGTGGATAACCCCTGTGGACACAAGGGCTGGAGATATAGAGACTAAAACAAGACAGTCCCTGCTTTCAAAGAGACAGACACCTCGGGGGTGATTTCCCCCATCTCAGGAGGGCCTCAAACAGAGGCCATTTGTTGGGAATGGTATCAGAGCACCTTCCTTTTCATGTATGGATGAGACCAGACAGACTTTAAGGTCATTTATAATTCTAGGTAGTGCATTGGCTAGAATTACTTCATCTGAAGTCAGAAGACCTGAGTTCAAATCCAGCCTCAGATGTTGACTGTGTGACCCTGGGCAAGTCCCTTAACCTCTGATTGCTTCAGTTTCCTCAGCTGTAAAATAATACCTACCTCTCAGGGCTATTATGAAGAACAAATAAGATAATATTTGGAAAGCATTTAGCATAGTGCTTGGCATGTAGTAGGGGCTATTATTGTTATATGATAATTTTGGCTATTCTTCCCTCTCCCTTCTCTAAACCAAAATTGTGTGCCAAGAGAGATTTGTGGAAGTTAAAGAAGTTTGGATGATGAAAGCCTGGAGGAAATGAAATAAGAACCAAAGGGAAGTAAAAATTTAGACAGTCTAAATCACTTGTAGAATATCAAGTTCCTATAAAACAAAGAACATTTTCTTTCCAAAATATAAAGGAATTCAAAATATTGTCATTTTGTGGGAGTGATTCTTAATATACTTTGCACGGTGTTTTCCTTCAGTAACTGTAACTAACAATTAACTTGGTCTGTACTGGTTTTTAATTCCTACACCTTCCAGCTTTGTTAAACACAGCTGGTCAACATTCCCTTTTATTATATGCTAAGCGGTATTTAATTTTCTTGATTGAGTCAGTCAGGATTTGTAGATGTATTGCAGAAGGCTTTTTCCTGGCAAGTGACTAATTCAAAAATTATTACACTTAAAAATTTACAAGGCACGGACTCTGTGTAGAATATGGCGTTAGGCCTTTGGAGGTGGACTTATAACGTGTAGATAAGTTGAAATACCTGTGATTGTAGAGCTTGCAGTCTAGAACAAAAGTATTTTTTCTACTTTAATATTTTTTCCCTCTAATTTAATGTAAAAATAATTTTTAACATTCATTTTAAAAAAAATTTTGAGTTCTACTGTTTACATTCCTGCATGGAAAGATGATATTTGTAACTCATGAGACCTTTGTTAGTATTAGGGTAGTTGGAGGGAAAAAATTATATGTATGTATGTATGTATGTATATATATAGATAGATAGATACAGGGCATAAGGCGAGTTGAAGATGAAGAGGTGATATCTGGAGAATAAAATTAAGGGGTGAGAGGATTATACTAGGAGAAGGAGAAAGGGAAAGGTAGAATGTGGTAAATTATCTCACATAAAACAGACAAGAAAAGGCTTTTACAGTGGAGGGGAAACGGGGGAAAGTGAGAGGGAATGAATGAATCTTATTCTCATAGGATTTGGCTTAAGGAGTGAATAACATACACACTCAGTTGGGTATGGGAAATCTTTCTTACCCTACAGCAAAATGGGGGGGAACAGGACAAGAGAGCAGGGGGATGATAGAGGGGAGGGCAGATTGGGGGAGGGGGTCATCAGAAGCAAACACTTCTGAGGAGGGAGAGGGTCTAAAGAGAGACTAGAATAAATGGGCGGTGGGATAGATGAAGGGAAATATACTTAGTTTTTCACAACATGACTACTGTGGAAGTGTTTTGCATGACTACAAAAAATTTTTTTAAAAAAGTTCTACCTTTTGCAAAAAAAAAAAAAAAATTGAGTTCTAAATTCTCTCCTTCCCTTTCCCATCCCGTCCCTGAGGCAGTAAGCAATTATGAACTAGATTATACGTGTACAATCATAGAACAAGGGTTCTTAACCATTTTCCTGAGCCATGTACCCTTTTTGACAGTCTAGTGAAAGTTATAGACCTCTCTTCAGAATAAATTTTTTTTAATTTCACAATTGAAGGAAATGATTATTTTCTTTTTAAAAACATATTGTTTCAATAAATATTTCCCAATTACATATAAGAACTTTTGACATTCATTTTTTAAAATTTCTAGTTCTCATTTCTCTCCTCTCCCATCGCTCCCCCAGGTACCTTAAGAAAGCAAGCATATGATACTGATTACGCATGTGAAAGTATGCAAAACATGTTAGCCATGTTGCAAAAAAAAAAACCAAAAAAAAAAACACCAGGCAAAAAAAAGAAAGTAACAAAGTATGCTTCAATTTGCACCCAGAGATCATCAGTTGTCTCTCTGGAGGTGGATAGCATTTTTCATCATGAATCCTTTGGTATTGTCCCAGATCACTGTCTTGATCAGAGTAACTAAGTCTTTCACAGTTAGCTGTTACTGTGTACAACACTCCTGGTTCTGGTCACTTCACCTCGAATCAGTTCATATAAGTCTTCTCAGGTTTTTCTGAAGCCATCCTGCTAGTCAAAATGCTCATTTTCAATTAGAGGCTAGTGTTGATTTTTTTTTTGTGTGTGTGTTTTCCATATCCCAGTTCATAGACCTCCTAAAATCTGTCCCTGGATGCCCCAGGTTAAGAACCCCTGATCTAATAGAACAATTGTGCTAAATCAGTAGAGGGCTGCAAGATAGAGCATCTGGTTGGTAAGTAAAGCAAACAGCTGAAAAATGAAGAGGCAGCCAGTCCTATCCTCTTGGTTTTTTGTCATTCTTTGGTCTCCAGTCACTTGTTTTCCTGAGGGCCTACTAGTAGGCAAATAGATCTTCAGGTGACAACCTGTTGTCAAAAACATCACTGCCACTTCCCAGCCCCAGAGAGGAGAGCTGCCCAGGTAACGTGGGATGACCACCTGGGCTTGGAAAGAGTGATGAAAGGTGGGCTTGGTCCTACGTCTTTGGTCTCTCCTCCCTCACCACGACTAGGGAGGGTCTGTGAAACACTTAACCGTGAAGACATAATGTCTCCACTCATTGTCTTTCTCTCCACAGTGCTGCCTTCCTCCTGGTTGCCGCAGGATGTCTCCCCTTTTATGACTCAGAAGTAAGTGCTGACCAATAAACTAGTTTTTTTTCTTCATGTCATCCATGCTCTGAATTATGAATAATAACAATAGATAGTATTTATGTGGTGGTTGTAGGTCTGCAAAGTACTTTGCTCATATTAAATAACTTGATTTTCGCACTCTGTGAGGCAGATTCTATTATTATTCCCATTTTACAGATGAGGAAACTGAGGCAAACAGCAGTGAAGTGACTTACCCAGGGTCACACAGCTAATAAGGGTCTGAGGTTGGATTTGAACTCAGGTCTTCTAGTATCACCTAGCTGCCTGCAAGTTACCTGAAGGTATAACCAGGATTTCACTTTTTACCCCACACTCCATGTGTATTGGGATTATTTCATCCTTTGTATTCATATCCCCTGGAGAAGGAAATGGCAAACCACTTCAATATCTTTCCTAAGAAAACCCCAAATAGGGTCACGAAGACTGAAACAACAGAACAACAAAAATATGTATCCCCAGTGCCTGGCACATATAGTATAGTAGGTATTTAATGGAAGTTAATTAATTGGAATAGCTCAAGCTTGTAGAGTTCTGACAAATAAAGTGGAAAGAGCATTAGACCTAGAGTCAGAGGGCACGTTTTTGAATCCCAGAGGTTTTACTTACTAGATGCAGGCTTGTGGACAAATCCTTTCTTCTCTCCATGTTTGAGTTTGCTTATTTGTAAAACAGGAATGATAATATCATATTACAATCCCTGTAGGCTTGTAGTGCAGAAAGTACTTTGTAAACTTTATATACCATATACATCTATGTACATGTTGGTTACTATTGTTGTTTTAAAAAACATCATTAGACCTAGAGTCAGAGGGCATGTTTTTGAGTCCCAGAGGTTTTACTTACTAGATGCAGGCTTGTGGACAAATCCTTTCATCTCTCCATGTTTGAGGTTGCTTATTTGTAAAACAAGAATGATAATATCGTATTACAATCCCTGTAGGCTTGTAGTGCAGAAAGTACTTTGTAAACTTTATATACTATATACATCTATGTACATGTTGGTTACTATTGTTGTTTTAAAAAACATCAGGTTTGCATTAAAAAAAAAACCCAAACAAAACAGTTCCAGACTTCCCACGTTTTTTCCTGTCCTTTTCCTGTCTACCAGTGTTATAGCAATCTGATTACAAGGAGCTTGATTGTTACCTGCTGTACTAGTAGGTGCCCAGGAGTGAGTAAATCAGAGGGTCATACAGGGAGAGCTTGGAGACACCTTTAAAAGTAATTTTTTCTCTCTTTTTACACATGAAAAGACAGAGCCCCAGCATGCTGAAGTGAAGGCTAAAATTCGCACAGGTAGCCAATTACCGAGCTGTGATTTGACCATAGGTTTTCTGCTTCTAAAACAGGTGTTGCTTCCACCGTAGAACACTGAGTTTTTAATTGAAGCCGTCTGAGACTGGATCAAGTTGTGTCCTCCCCCCATCTCCCTCCCAGCTATGTGCACCTGGCCTAACTTTGCTCAGCTCTGGTAACCCCTGGTTGACTTTTGGAAGGATTTTCACTTTATCTGCTACCCTAAGAGCAAAAAACAGAGCTCCAGTGCAGAAGCCCAGTAGAGGTACTGTTTTACAGGCAAACACACCAACTATGCCATTTCTTGTGTAGGAGACACAGGAGGACTTCTAGCACCTCTCTCACTAGCAGGTTTACTTTTGATCCGGTCAGACAGCAAGACAGGAATGGAGTCATAATAAGGGGTTAAATAAGCTTATTTTATTCTAGTCTAGTCTTCTTAAAGGGAGTTTGCTGACAATGGGAGCACCAGCTCCTACAGTATTCCCTAACAACCCTTCTCAAAGGGGCTGGCGTGAAGGGGGCAACTACCCCTCCATCTTGATGGGGTCAATTGAGACAGCACAACTTGTGCTCTCCCCTAAATCCCCCAAGCCTTGATGGGGGCCGATGTAGGCATGCGCAGCATTCAGCCTGCACATCGGCCCCTACGTGGTCCACAGTCGCTGACCAGTGCCCACTTGCTTTATAGGTCAACAGACAAAGAAGGCATATTGCCAGGAATAGCCTCACAATTTTACATTACTTCATCCCTACATCTACTGTGACTGCATAATAGAAACTATTTTCAACCATGATCGTGAGAACTCGTATTTAACACCTGGAAACTGGAGATTGTTACGGCTATGGATCCTGGAAAGAAAACTCTAAGAAAGAATAACAAAAACCCAGCTTACACACACTAAAATTCACCTTACTCACAGGCATCTACATGGGTCAGTGGATGGAGCACTGGCCTGGAAGTAGGAAGTTGTTCAGTTGTGTCCAACTCTTTGTGATCCCATGGAGCATAGCACAACAGCATTGTCCCTGGGGTTTTCTTGGTCATTTCCTTCTCCAGTTCATTCTACCGATGAGGAAACTAAAGCAGACAGAGATGAAATGATTTGTCCAAGGTCACACAGCTAGTAAGAATCTGAGGTTGGATTTGAACTCAGGTCTTCCTGACTCTAGGCCCAGCACTTTACTGAGCCATCTAACTGCCTCCACTTAGGAAGATCTACCTCCCAGGGTCGTTGTGAGTATCAAATGAGATTATAATCATAAAGCACTTAGCATAATTCCTGGCATATAGTAAGTGCTATACGAATGTTAGCCATTATTATTATAATTATTGTTGTTATTATCATATGGTGTAATGGATATAGTGCTAAATCTGGAGTCAGGAAAACTTGAGTTCAAATCTTGCCTCAGACACTTAATAGTTATGTGATCTTGGGCATGTCACTTAATCACTGTCTGCCTCAGTTTTTTCAACTGTAAAATAGGGATAATAACACCCACCTCCTAGGAGTTGTCAGGATTAAATGAGATAATGTTTGTAAAATGTGTGGCATATAGTAGGCACTATATATGTTATTATGCTGTTATTATTACTATTATTATATCTCACTGTTGAGTTTTTTGAGTAAAACATATACTCAAATGGTTTCTTCTTATACACGAGATATTGCTTAACTTACTGGTTATGCCCAGTCCCCCTTTTTAGCAGCATTGTAAAGCCTTGGGTGACAATCTTAGGTTTTTCCCTCCTAGGGTGAGGGGCTCTGAAAGCTGATCTCCTGAGAGAAGGAGGCAGCATATTTCTTCCTTCCCCCTAATCCCATGTAAGGTAAAAGCTCCAAATTGAACTCTCTCAGGGAGATGCTACCCAGTAATTTGACTGTAGCAATATATAATACTTTAATCTCTTTTGAAACCGGGACTGTTTCTGCTTTCTCTCTTTCTCTTTTTCCCTTCCTGGGGTGGGGATTTCTGCAGGTGCTCTGATTCCTAGGCAACCCACCTTCAGCTGCTACCATTGTGCAAGTCTGGTCTAAAGGAGCTTCCCTGGGTTTAGTGGATTAGCAGACGGCGCAAAGCTGGGAGGGAGGGCTAATGGATGACAGGAAGGATCCAGAAAGCTTTTGATGGGCCAGAAGATTGGACTGAATCTAAGATGGTACATGGGATAGAGTACCGGATCAAGGGTCAGGAAGACCTGAGTTCAAATGTGGCTAGCTGTGTGACCCTGGATGAGTCATTGTATTTGTTTGCCTCAGTTTCCTCATCTATAAAATGGGGGTCATAATAGCACCTACCTTCTAGAGTTGTCGTGAAGATCACTGAGATTATAATTGTAGAGTGCTGCACACAGGCACTATATACATGTTAGCTATTATTAAATTCAATAGAAATAAATGTAAAATATTATACTTGGGTTAAAAAAAAAAAACTTCACAGGAGCAAGAGAGGGGTGGCCTGGTGGGTAAGCAGCTGTTTTGAAGAAGAGATAAGAGTTTTACTGAACTGTCTGACCAGTATGAGTCAGCATTGGGATGTGGCATTCATAAGAAGCTAATATGATCTTGGTGTTCAGAGGTAAATCATCCAGAAATAAGAAGTGCTAATCCCTCTGTTCTCTGCCCTGATCGGACCCCTTCTGGGTTGCTGTTTTCAAAGACGTTGATAAACAGGAAAGCATCCAGAGGAGGGCAAAGAAGATGGTGAAAGGCTTTGAGTCTGTATTATATAAAGATTAATTGGGGCAGCTAGGTGGCATAGTGGATAGAGCACTGGCCCTGAAGTCAGGAGGACCTGAGTTCAAATGTGGCCTCAGACCAAACACGTGACACTTGACACTTACTAGCAGTGTGACCCTAGGCCAGTCACTTAACCCCAATTGCCTAAAAATTAAAAATTAAAAAAAAAACTTAAAAAAAAGATTAGTTGAAGGATATTTAACTTGAAGAAGAGAAGACATAGGTGGTGGGGGGAGAAGGGGCAAGGGTAACATGATAGTTATATTCAGGTATTTGAAGGGCTGTCACGTGGAAAGATTTCTGTTTGGATTCTGAGGGCAGAACCAGAAACAATTCATCGAAGTTGCAAAGGGAGCAGTTTAGGCTTGAGGTCAGAAAAAGTTTCCTAATAATTAGAACTATCCAAAAGTAAAATAGGCTACAATGAGATTTTCATGCAGCGACTGTATGGCCCCTTGTTGGGTATGTTATCAGGGGTATTTCTTTCATATACAGAGTGTCCCCAAAATCTTTTTTTTTTGTCTAGGTAATGGGGTTAAGTGACTTGCCCAGGGTCACACAGCTAGTAAGTGTTATGTGTCTGAGGCCAGATTTGAACTCAGGTCCTCCTGAATCCAGGGTCGGTGCTCTATCCACTGTATCGCCAAGCTGCCCCGTCCCCAAAATCTTAATGATTCCCTCAGGTTGAAAGTACATTAGAAATTTTGGGACACCAAAGATGGACTATAAGTATAGGATGGACTAGATCAGAAGTATCAAATATGTAAGCCAGTGGAACCAGATTAAAATGTAATTGGGAAACATTTAACAAAATAAATAAAAGTACAATAGAACATTGATAATGGTAATATGTGGCTTTCTAAGTCACTATGCAGCTGCTGGGTTCCTTATGTATTGTTTAGCAGTTCCTCCATTTCTATTTGAATTTGACACCCCTGCAACAAGCCTTTTTGCAACACAAATTCTGTGATTCTGTGATTCATAGAGACGTTATGATAATCCTTTCAACCAACTACTTTGAAAGGCAGCTATGTGACATAATGGTTCAAGTGATGGGACCTCGAGTCAAGAAAACCTGAGTTCAAATCCAGCCTCAGACATTTATTTAATAGCTTTGTGACCCTGGGCAAGTCACTTAGCCTCTGTTTGCCTCAGCTTCCTTAAATGTAAAGCAGAGATAGTAGCAGCACATACTTCAACAATTGTTGTAAGGATCAAAGGAGATCATATTTCATTCAAATAAGATACATTTTCAAGTAAAGAAGGGGAAATGGGCAGGGAGAGCCATTGAGATTTTTTTTTTTGGTGTTCTCCTGGGTATATGGCCCAAAGTGACCCAGGGGAGATGTCCAACTGCATTTAGCACAGTATTTACTTAGCACATAGTAGGTGTTTATTATATTCCCCCTTTCCTTCAACTAGGATGAGAGACCTAGTGGCTGAAACATCCAGCTTTGAAGTTATGTTTTGAAGTATGCTGTCCTGAAAGACTTCCCTTACTGACAACCCACTAGAAGGTTAAACGGGTCTCTAAGGGTTCATCAGCCTTGGCCACCCTTATTACTGGAGCATGCCAAGCATTCTGTAGTCACCACTGTGCTTGCTGCCTTGTGGCTCCAGTACATGGTGTATGTCTATTTCTGCCTAAAATAATTCATTTATTTGTCATTTGTTACAGTTTGATCAAGCTGGGTATTTCTGGGCTGCCGTTCACTTGTTCTGTGTAGGTAAGTTAAAAAGCATGCCAGGAAAAAATAATGAAGACTTTGATAATAGGGAAACATTTAAGATTTGGAAGAGAGGAGGAAAGAAGGAAGGAACAGCTTTGAGGATGGAGTCAGATCCTGCTCATTCTTCATATCAAAGACTGGAACACACCTAATTGTTGGCGGAGGTGTGGACAAGAGGACGAGCAGACTCCAGACACCAAAGTGGAGTTGGATTGAGTCAGAATTCACTGGTGGTTTTCTGAATTGCTTTGGCTTCTTTGGAATTTTCCCTCAATTATATCAGTCCCGACTACCTCTTCCTGTCATTCATGGAAAACTTTAATTAAGATATTGTGACTTAAGATTTACTTCCCCAGACCAATTTATGGAATGTTGGCAAGTCTTTCCTCAAAATCCTGGGAATACACACAAAGGTTTATGTCAAGGTCATTTTCTTTCAATTACATACCAGAAAATTCCAGAGTGGGTTAAATAAAGGGCTTATTTAATTTTTTTTTTTTTTTTGCTTATGTCATGTTGTGAGACATTGTGTTGTGAGAGAACATGCTACTCTGACTTAGTTACCCTCTGTTCAGAATCTGAATGGTGCTGTGTGTTTCTGTTTACCATAGCTAATGTATACGAGGGGAAGTTCAGCTTTTGTTGGCCATTGTACTAGTGAATGACTAACCCTTCCCTGTTTAGTATTCTCTGTGAGTTGGTTTATGTGTTGGAATGCAGTAGCATAGATTGTGACATCTTTCTTGAAGACCTTCAGAAACAGGATAGGTGCCCTTCTGTCTGGCCATAGTACGGTCTCAGTTGGACATTGCTCTGAAGTCCCTTGAGAGCTCCTTCCAGCCCTTTGCTTATCTGATTCAATGACAGTGAGTTTAGTTTATTTACCAGAATGAGCATATATCAGTAGCATGTTTTATTTCATTTACAGGGTCTTACAAAATACTTCACAAGGCCCAGAAATCCAACATGTTAAGGTAAATTTTAAAAGTTTTTTGTAATGTTTTTGTTTTGTTTTTGTTTTTTTGGTTAAAGAAAAGGAATGAGCTACTCACATAGCTAGAGACCTATCAACTTGGGAACTTGGAGCTCTGCTGCATAGGAGAGTGACAGATTTAGATTCCAAAGGCTATTCTCCTCTCTCTCATTGCCATCTGAAATTTTGTAGTCCTAGTTGTCTTCATTCATACCCACGTGTACAATTTTTCTAAGCCACTCAACTGTCAGCTTTAGGTCCTGAACTTACCTCTAGCCTATAGAGGCAGCAAGTTGTTCCCGTGGTTTTTCAGTTTGAATCTGGACAGACACAGAAAGAAGCCTATATCAGCTCTGTTCTCTGGATACAGTGAAACCTTTGGTATACCGGGTGAGGTTGATCTAATTAGTCACTTTTTTGTCAGTTTGGTTAAATGAGGGAATGAGAGGATACCTAATTCAGAGTTTTGTTGAGAGCCACCTTGAATGGTTATTCCTGGAACAACCTAAAGAAACATACTTCTTACAGATTTTCTTTTAAATTAAACTCTCCCAGATGAGCATGAGGTAGCTTCTGTATCTCAAGGAGTTTGATGTCACTACTTAGGTCACACGTTCTTTGGACCATATTCCCAGGAAATCCCCCCCAAAATTTTTTTTAAAAAATTGATTGCTGTTTTATATGATCTCTGTGGCTCCCCCTGCCCAAGTTTCCCCTTCTTCATGTGAAAATGTATCTGTTTTGAATGAAACAAACAAACAAAATTCTTGAAAATTCAGGTGAAAGGCAGTGTGACATAATGGATGGAGAACCAGTCCTGGAGTCAGGATGACTTTTGTCTTGTCACCTGCCTCTGAAACATACTTGTTGGGTGATACTGATCAAGTTATTCAATCTCTCAGTGCCCAAGCAACTCTCTCTAAATTACAGAACATATGGCCAACTGCATTGGTGGGGAGGGAGTTTCCTTGCTGGAAATTTACTACACTGATGTTAAAAAGAAATCCAGGTGCTGGTTTGCATTTAAAGTACCCTTACTGCTGCTTCTTGTTCTTTTGTAACAATATGCCGTTAAGTAATGCCTTAGTAGAGAACTGTGAATATTTTTTATTTGCAAAACAACTGACCGTTTTTTCCCCCTTTTCTACCTCTCTAATTCCCTAGTGACATCGACCAGCAGTACCTAAACTACATATTTAGGTAAAATTACTAACCTCATCATCTTTTTGGTATTGTTTCTTTAACTCATTTCAAAAACATTTTCTAGTCACATTTTGAACAGAATACACTTTGAGTCACTGTCCCTCCTTACCAGATTGGTTCAAAGAAATTAATTAACTGTGAGCAGGACAGAAATTAAAATTATTTAGTAGGAGAGCAGGTTAATGTGTATGGCTTTTTTCTAGCTGGAAAGTCACGTCTCCCATTGTCCACTGTAGGCTTCAGCATAAGAAGCCAAGTTAGCTAGGTTTAGGGAAATCTAGGAAGGTTTAAATACAGCCACACTGAGGTAATAACAGAGTCAACTTGGAGATGAGCCTTTTGTCCATTGGATCATCCATTATTTCTGGAGTGAACAACCTTGCTTCCAGCATTCAAAGAGAACTGTTTTTCTCATTTTGAGGTCCCTAATGCTCAGCTAAATATTTATATTGAAAAATGCCTTTTAAACAGCAGGCTTTGCTGCAGGCATGGATGAGAGCTTCTATTGTGCCAAATAGGAGACTTGCATCTGGTCCACCTTGCCTGAATGTTGTAGTGAAAGTCTTTTCATGGAACTTGTCTAAAAACTCAGAATTTTTTTTTTGTTTTGCTTTTAAAATGCTTCCATGGCATTGTACCATTTCAGGCAAAACTTCTAACCAGATCAAACATCAAAGGAATGAAGGATATGGAAAAGCGAAGATTTAGAGCTTTTTTGACCTATAGCTAATTTTCCTGTGCTCTCTTCCCTGGTCCTACCCATTCCTTTATTTTATTATGTGTATATTTATTGCCTGTGAGCCTGATGCTTGCGGCTTCCTGGCTGAGACTAGGGGTCAGCCAACTCAAGCCAAAATCCCATTGCCAAGTCTTTTCTTTCAGCACCAGTGATGAAAATGTGTGAATCAATACTGGGGGCACTGGTTGGCTTCTTGCTGGCATTGGAAACACAGAGGAATGAGCATCCAGAGCTTTCCATTATGCTTGGATTTATGGGTCATCTGTGCTTTTGTGTTGCCAACTCAAAGCATTGCCTGCCAAGGCAGAGAAGTTGGTTTGAGCTCTCAATTTTTTAGTGAGAGACAAGTGGTGAGAAGTTTCTGAAACTTTAGTCCAGCAACCTCCCCCATTTTTTGAGGGAATATTTATTTCCTGGATTTTTCTGTTTAGTGATTCTGAGCACAGCAGTAAGATACTAGAGGGAAATGGGTGTTGCTTAATTGGATAAGGGCATGAAAAAGATGTAGAGAAGAAAGGATGGAGGGGAAGAAGGAAGAGAAGAGTATACATGTAGCAAGAGGTGAATGTAACCACTTAAAGGGAGTAGTTTTGGCCTTTTCTTTCTTCTGGGTTCACAGCTGTGTTATGTGGTAAAAGTAATGTGGGGAAGCAACATAGGGAAGTGGCTAAAGGGCTGGCCTTGGAGACAGGAAGAACTGTATTCAAATCCTGGCTTTGTTACATATTATCTATATGACTGTGGATCATATCTATATGACTGTGGCTCTCCATCTGCATTGGTGGAGGGAGTTTCAGCATTAGGAGCTCCTCAAATCAACGAAATCACAAGTCTGTCTCCCTCCCTAAAACAAAATTTTAAAAGCTTAACCTTGGTTTTTAGGAACCTTTAATTAATTGGCATTTAATAATGACTCTGGGAAATTCTGGTGTCCTGTTACTTCCAGACTCACACTTAATCTGGGTTTTTCTAGGATGCTTCTGGCCTCATTTAGTCTATAGCTGTTTAAATGGGAGGACAATTTTCCAGGGGCTCTGAATCAGAGAATTTTAGAGCTTAATGATCATTCAGCCCAAACCCTTTATTTTACAGATGAGGTTTCTTTGAAATGGTGGTGTTTTAAAGCCCCAAAGGAAACGTAGGAATTCTCTCCTGGGTATGACAAATAGATTTGGATAGAGCTGAAGGAAGATTTATTGGGTGTAGCATGGGGAGAGTTTATTGTTTGGTGTGTGGAGAAGAAATGGGTGCCATATTCTGGTGTGTTATTTTTTCCAAATTAGCACATTATTTAATCCTATCATTCCATGGCTGTAGCTATTGTATATAATTTCAAATTATAGACTTCAAAGAGATTTCTGCCAAGAATGTACATGCTTGCAATGACTAGAATAACCAGAAATTTAGTTCTGGTAAAATTCCAGTGGTAGCTAGTGGACCGACTCTTTCACCAAGCTCTTTCATCTGACTTTGGGCTCCTGGCTCAGTAACCCCTAGTTTCTAGGGGCTACTTCTTAAAGTTTATTTCCTTCTCCTTTGGTACCTTTTTTCTCCAACTATCCTACAGTGGGAGTAATAGCACTGCAAATACCACCATAGTTCCTCTGTCTCAGTAACTCTAAGGCAAAGTTGAGCTGGTCTGATGCAGCACGTCATTCTTTAGCTTGGATTTTGCCCTCTTTCCATCCAATTTGGCAGAAATAGTATCTTCATGTGGCCTCTGCCCCTACTGGATACCCTAGCCAGACCTCACCCCCTCTTTTCTCTGCCCCTAGCCCCCAAGTAGAGAAGTATATGTTTAGGACTTTCCACACCTTCAGTTCAGTTCAATCCACATTGTTTTTTAAAGATAGTACTATGTTTAAGGCACTGTGGTAGGTGCTGGGAACATGCCATCCAAGTTTACTTGTCTGATGTTTCAGTTCCTTTGAGTCATGATTGATAGCAGCTACCTCATTTTATAAAGTAATCCATGCTCATGTTTTACCTCTCCAAATGAACATCTTTATGTATGAAGGGAACACAATGCCATAAGCCAAAGAACCAATTATAATGATGAGTATTTCCTCCACCTATTGGTCTCCTGATCTCAGAACCTAGAACTCAGGCTAGCATGATTAGAAATGTAGTGAAGTATATTTTTGTGGGAAGGCTTGGTTACTTAACTACTTCATGTAAAATTGCTTCTCTGAAATAGTGCATTCCAAGTTCTAAATAAGGATCTTTAACAGAAACTTTCAGAAAAATAAAATAAAAACAAACTGTCCAGAATGAAGAGATTCACGTACATTTTTTTCTGATCTTCTTTGTACATGGAAATGTTCGTGCTTATTGATATTGATCAAATTCATAATAAAAAAAAGAAAATTGAAACATAACTCACTAGTAAATTGGGGACCCCCTGTTTAGCTTTCTAACACTGGGATTGGACAATATGGTTTCTTCCAGTTCCGTAGTTCAGCAATAATGGCCGCTATGAGGTTGGCTTCTTGGTTACAGCATCATGTTGTACTGCAATGGGTTAGTTGGGTATTCTCTTAAGAGGGACTGAGAAAAATAACAGCACTGAGTCCAGCCAGGAAACTTAGGAATAGGGAGTAGAACTCGAGATCTAGGGCAAGTGGTAAGTGGATTTGCACATCAAAATAAGATTGCTTAAGTTTTTCATCTCTTTCAGTAAATGGGAAGAAGGTAAAGTATGTTTAGGCAAAATGATGGTGTGTCAAGGCAAGTTAACAAGCATTTAATAAGCTCATACTGTGTAAGCCATAGAATGTAATATATAGTTAATAAAAATTTGTTATCTTGGAGAATTTGCTTTGGAAAAAACTTTGCTACCTGATAGAATAAGTTAAAAAATTTCTTTCACTTACTGAATTCATATGTAACACCTTGTTGTCTTTTTTAGCATGGTCCTGTTGGCCTTTGCATCTCATCCCACAGGTGAGATTAAAACTATAAATTTCTTGATGTAACTTTATGTATTCCTTGATGTTCTTTATGGACAGATGTACTGCACTGGGGCAGACTTGTGGTCCTGAGTCCTTGACTGGAGGTTTGGTTCTAGTGGGCGGCTCTACTATTGTCTGCCCATGGGACTTGATGCACATCACAGCCATGTTGGATCTCCATTTCTTTCTCTGTAAAATCAGAGGATTGGGCTATATGCCTTCTTCCAGATCTACAGTTTAGCCATAATGGCCACCATGTTGTTTGTTTCTTGCTTGTAGCAGAGTATTGGGCTGATGATGGCATTGGGAAACAGCTTATGGTGATATGATTCCTTTCCTGGATTTCCCAGAATGCCCACAGTGGTTGAGAATTGGAGTAGCATCAGAGCAAAAAATTACACTGTTATTTAGTGTGACCAGTGCTTTAGAGCTCATTAAGACAATCCACATTGTTTACTTGGGGTGACTACCATGCATTTTCTATTCCTGATGTTGAAGCTACGACTGGGCCTGGGGTGGAGAGAAGTACCTCATAGCTTGGATACCAACTCCAGTGTGGCCACAGCATGCTCCATTCTGCCAACCTGCACACTCTGTGGATCTCAAAGAATAAAAGTGATCTCACGTTGCCAGTCAACCTTGGACACAGTCCTGCTGGTGCTCAGTCAGTACATCCATGATCTTCAACATAGTGCAGTGTGTTGACTGCCAAAAAATGTTCACATTAATTGTTAAACCAAATGATCCTTGCTGAAATGGTGCTCATCTCTACATTATGATTGCCAGCCTGTGCTTTTCTGAGCGATGTTTTTTTTGTTTTTTTGTTTTTGTTTGTTTGTTTTGTATTTTTTGAAGGAGGGGTAGGTCTTCACTAGGCCCTTTTCTCTGGGACTCTAACGTGATTGGAGATAAGTCAGCACTATCCTCAGCTATCCTCAGAGGTATTTACAGTACAAAGATATTTTAGCTCCTGCCTTTGAGGTTGATTTGTTTGCTACTTTTGAATATTTAACTGGAAGAAGAAAATCCAGCAAGCCAAAGGGATCCTAGGTGAAAAGGTTTTTTTTAGTGTGAAACTGAGGACAAACCCAGCCAATTCAAAACAATGTGGAACTTCCTGACCCAGGAAAACAGGAAGTGGTTAGATTTTTCTCCATTCTTACTTGCTTATGAAACCAGCTCTCAGTGAGGTTCTTCTTCTCCCCCTCTTGGCCCACCTTCTAGACAATTTGCTGTTCTTGAGCATTTCCTTCCAGGACTGGGCTGGCGAATAAAAAGAGCTGAAACCTAAACTAGTTCATTTTGTAAATTTTTGGCATTTCTGGTGAAAGCATTAGGGCAGGGAGGAGTTTTTTGTAATTGTTTTTTACTATCTTTAGATTTCATTTATTTACACTGTTCTTGTTCCCCTTTACCATGTATAATCTGAAATGAAAGGAGATCCTCCCAGAAAACATGTGAAGTAGGTAAGGCGGGTGGTATTACTCCCATTTTACAGATGAATAAACTTATACAGAGGCTAACTGCCAATTTAGGCCATTTATCTTCCTTAAAGACCTTTCACAGGAGGGCAGCTCTATGGATCATCGGGTTCAATCATAGATTCATGGAGCTGAAACCACTTCACAGATCATTTAGTCCAACTCACTTGAAGGGGAAGTCATGGTTCAGGAGTCCTCTGAAAACTTATGGAAGGAGAGGGGAGTAGAAGCTGCAAATACAGGGCTAGGGAGGCGTTTACTCAGTCTCCCACATACTCAGTGGGACCTGGTTCTGTTTATCTGGGCTTGTGACTGCACCTAAAGTCAGGAAAGGGAGTAAAAACCATGAGTGCAAAAGATGCAACTCTCTTTCCCAATGGACTTCCAACTCTACCTGCTCCACATCTAGATGTGAAGAGCTTGGTGAGGAAATAGGACAGTTACAAGGTAATCAGAGAAGCCATTGTGTAGAAGGTGTGTTTAATCAAGGTCTGAAAGAATCGATGGAATTTTGAAGGACAAAGGTAGTAGCAATCTGTCACCATCATATACCACAACTTGTTCAGCCATTCCCTGGTGTACTGTGGTGTAAGAAAGGATGAGCTTAATGATCTTAAAAAAACATCGAACTTAACCCCAATTGCCTCACAAAGAAAAAAAATGGGAAGACTTACACGAAATAATGAAGAGAGAAATGAACAGAACCAAGAGAGCATTGTATATAGTAACAGCAATAATGTTTTAAGAAGAACTTTGAGCGACCCAGTCGTTTTGACTATTATAAGTACCCAAATTAACTAAAAAGGACATATGAAGAAAGACGCTATCTGCATCCAGAGAAAGAACTGATAAATAGAAGTATAGAATAGTTTTACACACACACACACACACACACACACACACACACACACGTATTGGTGTCTATTGGTAACCATCTTTAGGATGGGAAGGGGGAGGGAAGAAAAAAAGAGGAAAAAAATTTAGTATATAAAAATTATATATATATATTATATGTAAATGGAATAGCAAGTTGTACATAATAGATTTTAATTTTCACGTGCAATCTTTTTTATTATACTATGTTAGGGAAATTCTTATTTTATTCCATAAATTCAAAATAAAATAAATTTAAAAAAAGACAAAAATCAGAGGAGAGGAAGTCATTCCAGATAGAGGGATAGGATTGGGGAAAGCTGCAGAGCCAGGAAATCATATTGTATCTTTGTGTTCAAACAAAGATTAGTCCGGATAGGTTGCAGTATAGTGTTCATATTGGGAAATAATAAGTAGAGAAGACTGGGAAGAAAGATCTTGTATACTGTGGAAGGTCTTGAATTCTAGGAAAAAGTGTGTCTGGATTTTGTTTGATAGGCAATGGTAGTCTGTTGAATGATTTGGAAGCAGAGTGGGACACAATCAAAGAAAGCTTAATTTAACAGGGGTGTGTAGGATCTCTTGGAAGGATAGAGAAGTCCGGGAGTAAGGAGGTTTTTCTATTTGTCTAGGAATGGGGTTAGCAGCAATAGTGGGAATGGAAAGGATGAGATAGATGTCAGAGATCCTCCCAGAAGTTATGTGAAGTAACTAAATCAAGTGGTATTATTCCTATCTTAAAAATGAACAAATTGGTATACACAGGCTAAGTACCAGGACTAGCATCCGTATCTCCTGAATCCCTAGTCTTCTACTTTTACATGTACCATTTTTGAAAGGTAGAGTTTTAAAGTCGTTTCATGTATGTAGATTTCATGCTCATGTCTAATCATGCCACTTAAAGTGAGGTTTATAATTTCCATTATGTTAAATGCTTAATAAAGGAATTCTTATGTTTGTAATTTTAAAGTTTTTCTTGTTTTCTTATTTTTAAAAACTATTTTTTGATCATATTTTCACACCATTTTATGTAATGTCTAAAAGTACTATTTCATTCTATTATGGTGTGTATCTTTCCTTTTTGTGGTAGGCAATATATAGTACTCTGTTTCTTAAATTAATTTTGTTACTTTATTTTTTATTTAATGTAACATTTAAAATTCCTAGAACAATTATAGTACCTCTTGATTATTGTCAATTGATTGATTTTTCATGCGCCTCCAAGTAGTTGCAAAGAGTAGTAACAGAATTCCTTAAAATCTAGATAAGGATATTATTAGCTACCTGTTTGAAGAATTATATCAATTAAGAGCTACACTCTGATACCTCATTATGAAATGAAGATGACTTCAGTTTTCAAGGGCCAGAGGAATATGGGAAAGCCTGGTACATGCCTAGCAATGGACCATGTATGCTCCTGTCATCCACAAACCATCTGAGGTAAGCTCAGAGAAGGTCACAATTAGAAAGTTGGCCACTGGATGCTGTATTTGTCCAGTCTTATCAACTCAAGAGGACTAGCTGTTAAGGTATAGAGGCATTATGATGTGGTGATGAATATCCACACTGGTGAAATCATGAATTCTATCAATTACAAATCACTTTCCAGAAACCAAATATTGTCCATTGATTGAGGAATGAATGGTTAAACAAAATGTGGTCCATGAATGTAATGGAATATTACCGTGCTGTGAGAAGCAATGAATATGATCAATACAGATTCACATGGAAAGACTTACATGAACCGATACAGAGTGAAGTAAGGAAAGCAAAGAAAAGAATATGTAACAATTACCACAACATGAAGAGAAAGAACAAACACCACAGTGTAACCAAAAGTGAATGTTGTTGTTATTCAGTTGTGTCTGACTTTTCATGACCCCATTTGGGGTTTTCTTGGCAGAGATACTGAAGTGGTTGGCCATTTCCATCTCCAGCTCATTTTATAGATGAGAAAACTGAGGCAAACAGCGTTAAGTAACTTGCCCGGGGGTCATATGGCTAGTTAATATCTAAGGCTAGATTTGAACTCAGGAAGATGAGGCTTCCTGACTCCAGACCTGGCACTCTATTTACTGTGCCACCTACCTGCCCCAAATGAAAGTTACAGAATTACAAAGTACAAGAATGGCTTCAAAGAAGAGTAGAGAAAATACTTCTTACTCCTTTGCAAAGATGGGAGGTCCACAAGTGTGAGACTTTGCATTTATTTTCAGATTTTTTTTTGTTGACATATGGATTGTTTTTGCTAATTGTTTTTTTCTCTTCTTTTTTACCCTCTATTTTTCTATTAAACATTATTTTTGGTCATAAGGGATAGCTGTTTAGGAGGAGGGAAGGGGAGAGATACAGGAGGAAATTCAGGCAATGGAAAAACAAAAGATATCAATATATTTTTATTTGTGAAAAAAAATGTTACTTTCCAGGATAGGGATAATTACTAGTTTTATTTTAACTACCTTAAAATTGTTCAAGAATAGTTGTAAGTGCTTGAGAAAGGCACCAGTGTCAGATGTATCTAAAGCCTAACACTGTTAGCCTAGAGAACAGAAAGCTCAAAAGAAACATTATAGTTGTCTTCGAGTGCTTGAAAGGATGTCATTTGGAAGAACGTTTGACTTCTTTTGTTTGGTCTTAGAGGGTGGAACTGGCACCAGTGAGTGGGAGCTGCAAAGAGACAAACTTGGGTTTTGTATAAGGAAAATATTAACACTTAAGAGTCTTCCAGAGTGGAATGGACTGCTTTGGAATGTAAAGGGCTTGTCTTCACTACAAGTTTTCAAGCCAAGGCTGGATATGCTACATGTATTCTATGTGTTGTAGTAGGGATTCTTTTCTCCAATGTGAATTTTGCTAGATGACAGCTGATGCCTCTTCCAACTCAGAAATTCAGTGATTCTTTAATCTTAAGTAAGAAAATTGTCTTAATTTTTTTTGTTCTGCTTCCTGAGCCCTACACATCACTAAGAATGTCAGTCAACTTGCCTGTGATTTATGCTATTTAAAAAAACTAAAACAAGACAGATGCATTTACAGGTTTGATCAGATTGTCAAAGGATTACTGTGTATATGTATTACAATAAATATCTAATCCAAGCTCGTCGATGGAACACTCACAAACTCGTTCTTGTGAATTTTGCTCACAAAGCGAAACTTTATTCAATAAATCTGTCCATCAATCAAAGACTCAGATTTCCTGAGGACCATAGATCTGAAGGCAAGACCCCTCAGAGACGGAAAAATTCCAGATTTGGAAGGAAACACTAAGTTCTTTTTCTCTGGACATATTTGGAAAGGCTTAAAACATTTTTTTAAAACCTCTTGACTTATTGTCTGTGACCGAGTTCAAATTCCATAGAGGGACACAGCCAATATGTGTGAGTATTTCCTATTCCACTAAGTGGAACTAAAAGAATGAACTTACTTCAGTTGAAATAAATGTAGCCTTTGGACCCTGAAGTAAAATGAACACATATTGTTTGTATGTAACTTGTTCCTTCTTTGCACTGTTGGTTAAATGTGAAGACTTTGAAGGATGCCTGTGGAATTTATTCATTACTGAATGTGAGTTGTGTAAGGCAACCTTGTCCCCCTCCTAAAACGCTATTTTGAAAAATGCTCTCCACTCTCCCCCTTTCCATTCTGCACCACATAAGCACTAATAAAACCATTAGATAGCTCTACATAATCAAAGGAATACTCGAGCAGTGAATGACCAGTTGTGTTTCACCGATAACAGCCTCAGAGCAAGTTTGTCCATCGTCTATTTATTTTTCTATCTATTCATTGATTTATTCATTTATCTAATTACTTATTTATCCATTAATTTATCTATTTATCTACTCTTATCCATTTACTTATGCATTCAATCATCTATTTTTCTGTCTATTCATTTATTTAATTACATATTTATTAATTTATGTATTCTTATCCATTTATTTATTGATTCTCATTCATCTTCTTCCTTCTTCTCTTCCTCTCTCCTTTCTTTCTTTCTTTCTTTCTTTCTTTCTTTCTTTCTTTCTTTCTT